TTATTTGAGTATATTATTAGTTTACTAAATTATGACATTTTTAAAATATAATTTTTATTTTGACATTTATTTTAATATTTTTTATTTATTTATTTTATTTTTTTGTTACTATTGTTATAATTATCATCTTGACAACGTTTGACACACAGTTATTGATCAACTTGATCTACTTAAACAATTGAATTTATAAGAATTGTGCATTGCTATATATGTAAAAAATCAAATCTATAAGACTTTTACATCGCAATCTAAATAATTGTAAATAATTCATTATCCCTTTAGCGTTGCAATACAGTTTTTTACAATACAGTAGTCTTCCTAACATTATTTGCATATTTTTATCAGAAATGTTGCATTGATAAGGACCGCATCAATAAGTTAAAACGTTTGCAGCTATCTCAACTTTTCTTCAATAATAAAACCAATTTAACACACAACCAGCAGTGTTTGAGCTTTTATTGGCCTTAATTACATACATTTAAGATTAAATGTGTATCCCGTATAAAACAAATGTATTGTAATATACTATAATAGTAGTAGATGTAAGTATTAATAAATGTAATATATAAATGTAGCCAGTAATAATAGTAGCAGATTGTATTAAATGTATCCCGTAATATAGTAGTAGATTATACAAAAAATCATTTATTTTATCTCAGATTAAAAACCTTATGTTAATGTTAATAAGTCTTAATTGTTTTTAAAATATTTATGAGATTCGAAACATCTTGTGAACAGAGGCAAAAGCGTAAACAAGGAGAATGCATTGCGGGGGTGGTACAACGGGGTACGAGAGGTAGGGTTATACCCGTCGCTCATGCGCGTCTGGAACCCCGCCCTGTCGCTTCGGACCACAACCTGTCCTGTCGAGGACTCTTCGCTTATGTGGTCGAACAGTCACGCTTTACCTCACGATCTGTGAGGCAGTCGGCACTCGCTAGGAATGCGCAAAGTGTTCGGCTTGCAATAATAGAACGTAAGGCATTTCGTTCTTCGCGTAAACATCTGTTAATTGCACATCAGTTGCACGTTTGCAAGCGTTTTACGTGACATATACATATTCTTGTAATTTGCAAAATCAACGAAACTAACTCGCAATTCGATCTCGCGTACCGGTGTGTGCTTCCATATATTCAGAAGAGATCAACAACGGCGCGTCGATCATCGGCGGTTTACGACTCGCGCATGACAAGAATCTTAGAATCGATGTGGTGACCAGTTTTGAAAGAAAGAAAGAGAGAGAGAGAGAGAGAGAGAGAGAGAGAGAGAGAGAGAGAGAGAGAGAGAAGAGAGAAGAGAGAAAGCAAGAGAGAGGAGAGAAAGAGACAAACAGATAGACAGAGATGTATGGCAACCAGTTGCGGATGTGAACTGATGTTATTGTGAGTGTTCTTTTACGTGAGAGGCAAAGAGAATTATAGATCGTGAAAAAACAAAGAATTTATAGAAGAATGTGCGTCGAGCATTCAGTCTTTAGCGGATAGACTGCGAATCGATCTGAAGCGCGTGTTGTGGTGCGATCACTCTGTTAACTGCAAGCGTGCAAATAAAAAGCGTATTTATTTGCGGACAGGATATACATTATTGACAATTGTGGTTTTCTTTTAGCATAATTACAATCATCAATTAGTCTTCAATTTCACGAAAAATCGGAATATAGTAAATAAAAACAGTCGCGTCACATCGTATTTTGTCAGTAAGTTTATTAAACGCGATATCGACTTCCTTTGACTTTGACAACCGTCATTCAACTACCACAACGTATGTTTTCAACAATCAAATCAACAAATAGCAGGTTTAACTTGGGATTATCGATAAATCAACATCTCGGAGATACTGCGACTTTTTCAATGTGTAACAATTGATTATTTGCAGATACATACTAATTTATTCATACTAATAAGATAGAAACTGTCAATGATAGTCTGGAACAAAAAAGAAGAAAATTTAAAGGCATCTTAAAGAAGCACTGTGTAGCCAATCTACGTGATATCGAGATTTAAAGTGCCCACTCAGATAGATATCAAATTTGAAGATACGAACGCAGCAGATAATCAAGTTCATTGATCCGTTCGCATAAACATCGAGGCAATTGCAACATAGCGTTTACGGAGCGCGCTGTATCGATTACAAGATCACTTTTTATAGTGTTTCCCAAGATTTTAGACAAAATATTTGTAATAATAGTGTGTTTACAAACAATACTAAGCAACAAAAGTTTATCAAAAATTTCTCGACTACCACAAACTACATTTTCGCATATAACATTAAGAACTAACTCTCACACGTTCGATAAACTTTTTCTCAACTTGGAAGACAAAGCGACGCGATTTTAAAACATCGAGCTAACAAACGATTTTGCTCGATGCATCGTTAGCGAAGTAAGAAATCACGATATTATCCTAGAAATCACGAATTGATCTATTATTAATTTCTTTGGATGTTCTCAAGATAATCAATACGTGTTTGCGCGACAATTAATTTTGAAGAATGAAGTAATGATAGATCTGCATCGACCGTAGATCGACTCATCTCTATAAAGATTTATTACCAAACATCACTAGTTAAAGAAGTTTGTAGCGTTCGTCTTCCTGTAAATAAAAGTCATTCTAGGTGATGCGGGGTAGCAGCTCCGAACTCTTACTGAATGCCAACTGCAGTCAATGTCAGAGCGATCGCGAGCGCAGGGATCGCGAGCGTCGAAGCAACAGTAGAAGCCGCGACGAGCTACGTCGTCGCAAGCTGTTGGAATCCCGGTTTGGAACGTCGCGGCGTCGACCGCCGCGACGTACTTGCCGCCAGCGGTTGAATTTTTACGCTACATCGGCGTTGGCTTTCGTTGCCACCTCAGGTGGCACTGCGCTTCTCTTCTTGGTGCCACTCTACGTCGACCCAGCTATTAGCACCCTGGCGGCAGACTTCTCGCCTGAACCAGTGACGTGTACTACTTCAAGGCGAGAGAATTTAATCGGTCTTTACAACTGTACATGGACATCATGCCGCGAAGGATGCACTAGTGATGTGTACAGATGCAGTCACGTGTATGTCACCTATACACCGTGGAACACTGCGAATTTGAAGAACGAAACTGCCGATAGGAACACCACCGTCAACATCACTAGTGTCGCTAACAGTAAGATCGCTAAATTGCAATGTCTTTAACATTTCTTATAGTATAGGTTTTGCGATGTTCGTACTGTTTGATAAGTACTTGCGTGTGTGTGATTCTGGCAGTAAGATCTCTTGTAAATTGATTAAAATTATAAAGTAAATTGATTAAAATTATATAATAAAATTTAATAAAAACATGTATAGAAACATATATAAACATATATAAATATATATAAAAACATATATAAAAATAACAAAACAGAATAAAACAACTAAAGCAGATATTTGAAATGCCAAAGTATGACTTGTGAGCTTTAAGAGGATGCGTCCTATTTTACCAACTGCATAAATCCAATTTTTATATAAACTATTAATTGGAATGAAAAACGCTTCAGAAAAAAGAGAATATACTAAAAAATTGCATAAAACAAAAATATGAAAAAATCAGAAAAAAGTTTATAGACTGATATTACAGAAACTATATTTTTGCTTCATATTTTAAAAACGGCCGTATGAATCCAAAAGAAAAACAATATTTTTAGCAAAAATTAGAAACATACAAATATTTTGAGTGATTCAAAAAGGATTTTGAAGTTTTGTAAGAAAAGAAATCTGGAACTAAAATGATTACAATTTTAGCAAAAGCACTAGAAAAACATACGTCTATCCTTGTCTTTATCATGTTATCTATCTTTGTCTCGATCCGACTAAAGGGCATCACCTACTGGACAGCACATGTAGTGGCTGAGCAGCTGTTAGCCATTGCTTCAGCATCCTCTTAAACAATAAACAAATATCACGATGACAGTCTGAAAAGTAAAAAATATTATTAGACTATTTAGATAGAAGTTGATTCGATTCAAGAAGTAACAAAGAAAAAAATAGGGAGAAGGTAATAACGAGCTACACTTGATGTTCGAGTAAAATTCTAAGAATTTTATTAAGTGTAGCTCGTTATTGCATTCTCCCTATCTTTTTATTTAAACATGCAACAAGAGCATAAAACATATAATTCAAATATAGAATATAATTGATATTTTATACTGTGATACTTTTTCTTATTTCTCTTATTTAATTACCTGTAAGATAAAGAACTAGAACGCACAATATACATATGTCGAAATTTCAAGAGAAATTGAAATCTATCAAATCGTGTTCCAAATAGCTAAAATTTAGTTATTATATTGCCAGCAAGAAAAATTTGCTAAGCTTATTGAGATTTTTGTTTTGCCAACAAAACGTTTTGTTGATGAAACAAAAATTCAATAGATACAAAAAATAGTTTTTGCTGGTCATATAACAATAAACATTTTTTATACAAATTGCGTGAATTCGACATGAATAAAATCATAATCTCTCTTGATATATATTTATTCTTTATATGAAATATTTTTGAGCAGTGTCTTCCCCGGGGAATGTCGAGGCGGTGCTGCTGGTAAACATCAAGGGTTGCGGGTATCCACCAGCAGTCAATTGCGAAAACTTTACCCGCGAAATGGGTTACGAAGGTGCAAGGTTTCCCTGCTATTACAGCCGAGTGAACGGTAGCATAGTCATACCGGAATATAATCGCGAGGAACAGATTGCTACTATCATACATTACTTTGCGGCGCCCTTCGTAGTCACTCTCGCAACCGGCGTCGCATTATGTGTGATGCACTGTGACTGCAGTTGCACGCCACCACCACGACATTCGTCACGGAACAAGAGAAGATCTAGAAGCAATGAACTCAGGTAAACAAAACTTCATTAAAAATTTAATATCTGATTGTAGACTCCGAAATTGTTATTATAGTTAAAGATATATATATCTGTACATTGATACAGAACAAATAAAATATTTCTTTTGTTTAATTGTATATTAGCTTAATTAGAATATATTTAGACTATATAGTAGTTTGGTTTAGAGAACGTAGTGTGCAAGAATTGTTTGTAAGATAAAATAAAAATGCTTTGATAAATAACATCACCAAACGTTGAATCTGCATATGTGTGTTAATGTTATTTAGATTAAGAATACAAACTTATAACAATGATGAATCTCACACATATACGATACTAGTAAAGTGGTGTTAATATCGCAATTGTTATACTATTACAGCTGCTGCATGACTATAAAAAATCGATAATAGTTTACAACTATGCTAGAAGTCATCCAATTTAAAAGGTATATATATATGTATATGTATATATATATTTGAAGAGATGAATATATAAGCTTTTATAAATGACCTTTTTCTCTATACATATTTTCACCATACATAAAACAAAGCCGAACATCTAACGTACATATTTTATTATCGTCTCAACGTTATAATTACTATCATACTTACTAAACTCTTTCGGCTGCAAATACCGCTTTAAACAATATCTTAAAGATCATTTCTCAAAGTTTGGTATAATCTTGATCATCTTCGTGTTCCATTGTGTATATATAATGATTTGTTTGTTAAAGTACGTAAGTTAACTGAGCATTCATGTGTTTTATGTTTGCTTTCGTTATTATCTCTTTCCATTTTCATTCTATTTGGAGAGTATATTTTTATAATTTGCGGTATTAAATTACATATATACAAAAAACGTTTTTTAAAATATGTATATTTATACATATAATATATAAAACTTAATATGTTTGCAGAACACTTATAAAAACAAAATAATTATCCTTAATAAGAGTTTTTATTTAATAATAATATAATTGAATAAATGTTTAAATCAATTTTGATGCTTTTTTCTTTTTTGTATACATTAGTTTTAACTTAACGCTTTGCGGACAGACCTCACAAATGACTTACAAGTCAGACAGACTGGGTCTATAAGACCTACACAACTTTAAAATCAAATATCTTCACGAAAAATCAATATTTTTTCAACTTTGGTTTTTAATCGAAATTTTGAGCAACAATGTGTAAATAAAAAACAAATTAAAAACATTTTTAATATCTTCAAAAACATAAGCGTTTAAAGAAAAGTCTGACAATTTTTTTTTGAAACAAAGAGTTTTTATTTAACAATTTGTCATTTTTTTTATAATTAAGATTTGTGCAAAATTCCAACAGTTTTGTAGAAAATCGCTCGTATTTTCAGTGAAAAAATTGTCTTTTAAATATTTAAAAATTACAAACATTTTCACACTAAGTCTTTTGAGATGTTTTTCGAAGAATGCATTTTTCAAGCGCTTACCTTTGACACGCAATATTTTAGTTATAAATCAATATTTTGACATAATCTTGTTTTTACTAGAAAATTTGAGTGATTTTCTATCAAACAAAAGAACGTATTGAAGAAATGTCGTATAGTTGCTGAGATATAAGCGTGAAGAAAAAGGAAGCAACTGTTTTTCAAAATATTAGTTCTTTCTTTAAAAAAAATCGTCATTATTTTTGTGATTAACATTTTTTCCAAATTTAGCTCCGGTTTTGCAGAAGATTGTTTATAGTTTGAGATAAAACATTGGTATAAAAAAAACTGTTATTTTAGAGAAGATTCAAGTAAAAGGGATTTTTCAGGTATAATGGTAGATAATGCATAGTGGATATTGTTTCATGTATTTTGTGGTATTAAAATGGTTTAAAAAAATTGAAATTACAACAAGAAAAAGACATAATTATGAATAGGAAAATATTGTTTTATTGTTCGGCAGCACATTTAATGCATTCTCTTAAGAAAATCCTGCACCTTCCTGTTATACCAATCAAACGAGTAATTTGTATTTTAGATTGCATTTAGTATTTATTGCTCGGATAGAAAAACAGCTCTACAGAATAAACGAAAATAATGAAATTAATCTCGAGTACTTTTCAATATATCAAAAACTTAACAAAAATTGTTGAAGTTAACAATCACCTCTACTTTTAATGTACTGATATTTGAAGTTCAAGAGTTATTTATAAAAACCAAAAAGTATCTGAGGTAGACATAACATTGAAGAATGTAATAAGACTATTAGACTATGATTTAGAAGTCCACAATACACAAATAATCTATAATACGTTTAAATCTAACATAACCTTTTTTTACATATGTATGTCCTTATTTCTCTAACGACGTTCTATGGTTGATAACATTTGTATCGATAACAGTATAGTCACGATATATATAGGGTGCGTTCACTTTGGGCGCTTACGCGCTTTGAGCGTCAATCTATTTTTGTTCTATATTTAAACAACAATAAAGACAGACTGACGCTTAAAGCGCGTAAGCGTCCAAAGTGAACGCACCCATAGTACGCTCCAGGACCCTCTTAATATAGTGTCACACTCTCGCCACGATTTCGCGCTCTGCAGAAAAAAGAACACACGAGAAATAAATAACAGGCTTTATTCGCGAGAACAGATATAGAAACGGAGAAACTCGTAATTATATTTCGGAGCCGCTACTCGAACCTCTTCAAAACTCCGATTCTTCTTTTCAATCCGAAGATAGGCGTTAACAACAACCCGTTGCTACATAACTCGTTGCTACCCGTTCCTCTCCCAAACAATTGCTCCGACGATCCATCGAACAACATAATGCGCACCGCTTCCTCGACGAAACGCATCTCGCAACAATAGTATTTTTTTGAATTCCGAAGCAGAATCAAAATATTCACTGCAAATCGCTGTAAATGTACATAGATTTTGATAAAATACCATAAAATTATGAAAAAAATATCAATTACTTGATACATAAAAAATGCTCAACCTGAAAAATATTTATTTATTTTTCAAAGAATGCCTTCGGACAGACTTGAGTTTGTCAGACTCTTTTCAAATTTTACAAGTAAACTCACAAAGCTATCGACGCTGTCAAAATTCTTTACTTTTGTTTAGTATCCTCACAAACACACACACACGCACACACACAAATGTTGTTCTGAACTAATATCTACTTAAGACACCGGCTGCAATTTTTGAGTGGGTCTGGGAGATCCATGTCTGTCTGGGAAAGGTTAAATATTTGTAACGGCGATATAGTTTATGAAGAAGTTTTATACCGCATGCAATTCAAATTCTTTCTCTCTATCATAAAGAGTAGTTCAACAAATCAATGTTCTACTGCTTTACTATATATAATTTATAGATGTAACTATATATAATTTACTATATATAATTTATAGATGTAAAAAACACTTTATCACTTTTATCACTATTGTTTTGGTCCACAACGAAACACGAAGCTCTGTTTTAGAAATAGAAATACACTTTTATCATATTATTACAGAAAAGAACGATTCGCAGAAATGGAAATTGATTCATCATCTCTCGCTAATTAGCTCCAAAAGGCGTATTCATCTCATTAACGAAACGAGTGTGACGCCCAAAAGCCGTGACTGCACTCACCGTCTCAACGAAAATGTGAATGTGTAGAAAGATCTCTAGTTATCGATCGGATGCCGTAAGTAATTCCGTGCACTCGGAATAATCGACAGCTTTCACAGATATAGATATGTTACATGAACAAATTCTAAGTAGCCGCGTACCTCACGTAACTCAATATTCTTCTAAATATTATTTTTTGAGTGATTCAACTATTAAGCAAAACATATATGTTGATGTTTCATATTTTATGAAAGTCTTCATAAAAATATTTCTATAAAATTTAGTTACAAAATTAATTCTACATTGGACACGATGAATGCTATTATAGAAAAAATTATAACAGAGAAAAAAATTATGTTTTGTGCTCGTTGTATGTTTAAATAAAAGGATAGGGAAAAGGCAATAACAAGCTACATTTGATGTTCGGGTAAAATTCTTCTTTAATCCGAGGATTTAAAAAAAGATACAAATGTTTTAATTCACTATGGGATCTTCTTTAGTGTCTCTACATAACAAAATTACAATAAATGCACGATCTATTTGCGACAATAATAAAGAATATGGATACAGAAGATACGCTATAAACATATTTAGACTCAGTCTATTGGTTGTCTTTGAAGCGGGAGGGTGTTTTGCGTCTTGCGTACGACTGACGGTTACTTAGTTGCTACTTCTTCTTTTTTTTCCTCAAACTAAGTATGTTTGTAACATATTTTTTCTTTATCCATATTCTTCATTATCGTCGCGAATAAATTATGCGTTCTTTGTAATTTTTTTTATGTAGAAACACTGAAGAAGATCGAAACATTTGTATCTTTTTCTAAATCCTTGGGTTAAAAAAGAATTTTATCCGAACAGGTGTAATTCGTTATTGCCTTTTCCCTATCTTTTTATTTACAGAAAAAAAATCTTTTGAAATTGTAAAAAGTATATATGTGTCTTAGAAATTATATTATAATAGTATCTTTTTGGCTCTAAGGAAAAATGTAGAAAAAATCTTACACACACAAAACACGCACACGCGCGCGCACATACTTATAGGTATATATGTATTTTTATTTTTTATTGTTCTTTTATATTACCTTTACTAATATACCTATATTACCTTTACTATTCTATAATATACACTTTATCGCATATGTTGCATACGTCGAGAACGTCGGAATTGAATTTATTCGCGCTGCATTTTGAAATATTATTATTAATAATACATATCGAGACGACAAATGCGAAGAACCGCGCGATTGGAATCAAATGTCATAACATTTCTCGTATTTTCAAGTATTATACTCCAACGTAAAACAAATTCGAAGACAGCCTCTCTAAGAAATACCTTGTAATTCCTTTCTAGGAAATGTCTTTTTACTTTTTATCACTTGTCATTTCCATGACTGATAATATTAGAAAACAAAGAAAGGAAGGTAGCGAAAGTGACAGCCAACAAAGTAACAATCTCAGCTGTCATACATTAAACTTGGTGAACTACTCTCGTCTCAGCTGGTATACATAATTGGCCAATCTGACCGAGAGAATTCTCTCTCTCTCTCTCTCTCTCTCTCTCTCTCTCTCTCTCTCTCTCTCTCTCTCTCT